GAATTCAGCTTCATGAGGACGTCTTTGGAATGATTTTGTCCTCTCGAATGATTTTGTCCTCTCGAGTGAACAAAGTGATGAAAACAGAAACATCAGAGCCCAACCTGAAGCTCATCAAACACAAAGATTTCTAGTGTTTTCATCAATTACACAATCATCACTTTTGCTCATTCTAAGGGAACGAAACACAACGATTCTTATCTTCAAGTGATGATGAAAATATACTTATTAATATTATGTTCATTCATCCGAAAGTCTACAACGGATCTTTAAGTTAAAGTAGTGAAACCTGAAAGTCCTGCATTCACAATGAAAGTAAAAGTACTAAAGTATTAATTTCTGAGTTTCACCGAGGGATCAATAAAGGTTGATTGTTTTCTCCATAATAATATATAAAAGTGATTTATTTGTTGATTATATTTTTTTCTATTGATCTGAATCTGATCGTCAGCAGAGTGAGTTTTTACAGAGGAGGAGACTCTCCCTCCTACACAGAACACAGAGACACTGAACCAGACCTGGACCTGGACCTGGACCCAAACCCAAAGCCAGGATAAAGAGGTTCAGTGAATGTGGTGTTGAAGGTGTGGAGGTGGATCAGTGTGTCAGAGGAGACTCTGTAGCAGGACAGAGAGTCAGCAGGACAGTCCACATACACTGCTACTCTACCAGAGGGGGAGGAGGAGGAGGAGGATGATGATGAGGATGAGGAGAGTTGTGTGCTTCTGTTATTGTGCCAGACAGTGTAACCATCACCAGAGCACAACAGACTCCAGGAATGATCGTTCCCTCCAAACATACAGTCTTCACTGCTTCCTCTCCTTGTGATTCCTCTGTAACTCACTGATGTAAAAACTACTCCTCTCCACTTGACCTCCCAGTAACAGCGACCAGTCAGACCAGTTCTACACAGCAGCTGAGGCCAGAGATCAAACCTGTCTGGATGATCAGGATATGACTGAGCCTCTCCCACATATGTCACCTTCCTGTTGTTGACAGACAGTTTGAGCTCTCCGTTCACTGTGTTTGTGTCAATTGTGAGTTCACAGGCATCTGAAGGAGAGAAGGAGACATGAAACAGCATCAGTTCATCATCAAACACAGCTGATGGGTTTATTTGAGACTTCATGAATCAAAGTGAACACTCACACTTCCTCAGACCAGGTTTCAGCCACTGATCTCCAGCAGGTTCAACCCTGGAGGAAGAAACAGAGTCAGAATGAAGCTTCATCATCATCACTGATCATCATATATCAAACGTATCTTATAGAAACGTAACGAACCTCAACACAAACGAGACAAACTTGAGAAGTTTGTAAAATGTTCTACAAACACTTTGACTCCATGTTTGTCACAAAGAATTTGTGTCGTAGATGTTAATAAATGTATCAGTGGTGGGTCATCAGGGCCTTCAAGGCCTTCTCTGCTGGCCTACACACAATCACAAAGTTATAGCTATTTAATAATCTAATATTTGTTCATAAATACACTACATGTATTATAAATATTTTCCCCATTATCTTATTTCCTCATTGCACAGCTACTGTCTTCCTCAGTTGCTCTGCTTCCAGTGCAGCTTGTTTTAAGTAGAGCTTTTATCCAATCAGATCTCACCTCTGTGTCTCTAGGTAAGAACAGAGGCCCGAGGCCTGCAGACTCACAAGTGCATCCATGTGCAGTTTAAGTGAATGGGGACGATATTGTTGATTGTCATATTCTTCAACCAATCAGATCTTTAGTTTGACATGTTGGGCGTATTCTTTTACGTCTCTCTTTAAGAGGCCTATTCCTTTGTCAATTTTAATATTTTTCCATTTCTTGCACTGCGATGATTGCTTAACCACCACCCGCCGTGACAAATTCCTTGTATGTGCAACATACATTGGCAATAAATAGTTTCTGATTCTGAAGTACGTTAGCATTAGCGTGCGCCGTGATTGGTCAGTGGGCTAGTGTGACTGTTGTGAAGCTGAAGCAGCTAGCAGAAGTTAGTATTAGAAGTAAGAGTTCAAGTTGAAAGATATGTAAGAAGTTATGATGTTGACATGACATTTTTAGCATTTTGCTTTGTTTTTTTTAACACTCAATGGCTGAAGGAGGAGGAACGGATCTGTGAGTTACTGGCAACATCTTTCTCAAGAAGGACATTTCAGGAAAAGCTGGACGTCGTAAGAAAGGGTCAACAACCCCACAGCTAGCAGCTCTGACCCAGCCAGGAAAAGGATTTGTACGAACGGTATTTCTATCTAACAGCGTTGTCTTTATGGCTGAGAATGCGTTTTGTTTGCGACTGAGCGTCTTGGTGTTTGGAGCTACGCTACGCTAACCTGAGTTGGCTAACCAAGGCAGCAACACAACACCATAGCAGACAGGACACTTACAAGCTACGGTGCTTTTGAAAACTTTTGCTGAGACTCGAGTGGATCTACAACTCAACGAACACGTTCACAGGAGGACCTCTGGCTGGAACTGAACCGCACCGACGTTCTGTACTAAACTCTTTGTTCACAAAGAAAGGAGGCTCTGCAGTAGCGTTACTACTGTGTTCATTTGTCTATCATGTCATTTTTATGATACGGTTAATATTGTTCCCTCTAATATGAATAATATTTGAATGGCTCGTGCTCTTCAGTGTGTGGATGAATACGTGTTTTAGTGCTGCAGTGTTGCTGGATTGATTTGTTGCTTTGTTGTCATATAAATATATGTGACTGGTTCTTGTGAGTTTGTTCTTGTTATTGTGTTAATTACATTGATTCTGACTATACGCATCATTGTCCGTTAATGACGAAGCATCCTGTCATGCTCGTATTCATGTATCTGTTTTCTTTAACAAATCAGGAATGATGGTCTGGAGAGATGTGGATTGTGTGACAGAGCTTCACAGCTTCTCTCTGACAGATTACAGCCACACAGCCTGAAGGAGAGTTAGTGATGAAGACAAACACAATACTGTTCTTTCTTCTTCAATGTAAAATACAACATTTCTGAGTTCATTAATTGAACAATGGAGGATTAGAGTCTTTTATTGTGTGTATCACTGGAACATAACCGTGATTAATGGATCCTAATCTCTAATAACTTTTAGTCTTAAATGAACAACAAAGTGAATTCATTTTAATTCAAAGCTGCATTAATCTGTGGAGATGCAATGAAACTGAGGAAACAATTTGCATGTTTTTAAATTGATCAACTCATCAATTTGTTTATTAAATCTGTCAACAGAAGACTTTCATGAGTTGAGAACTCCTCTGCTCATGTGATAAAGCTGTTAAAGGCAGTTATCTGGGTACTTACAGAGCTTTGTTGGAGGCTTTGACCGCTGGCACCAGACTCAGGTTCTTCAGGTCCAACACGTCCAGATGTTTTCCTGATGACAATGAGATGCAGATCAGAGCTGAACACTGAGCAGGAGACAGTTCATCAGTGGAGAGACGTCCTGAACTCGGGGACTGTTGGATCTTGTCACAGTTCAGCTCCACACCCTCCTCACTCTTCTTGTCAGTCACTCCCTCTCATCAGTCTAACTCCCTTCACCTGTTCACTCACCTGCCTGTGTTGCATTTGGGTCCATATACAACCGGTTACAGATCTGCTCCACTAGAGAACCATCATTCAGTTGTGTGACTTTCTACGTAACAATAGTTTATTTGAGGACTTTCAGTCATGATCTAGAAAGCATCATAGCACAGAGACAGCTCTGGTGAAATAACTAATGACCTTCTGATTGATCAGATAAAGGACTTGTCTCTGTTCTGGTCTTGTTGGACCTTAGTGCTGCGTTCAACACAATTGATCATTACATCCTGTTACAGAGACTAGAACCTTTGATTGGCATTAAAGGAACCGTAGTAAACTGGTTTACGGTGGGCTAACTTTAGTAGCTAACGACTGAGCTTCCATGGTGCAGAGCTGTGCTTCTAATTCACTCAGCCTTGCCACAAACACACTACACTTATAACATGTATCGTTATACCTAAAGGAGGCAGAGGAATAGCTGAACATGTGACACACCGAGAGAGAGAGTGAAGCCATCGCTAACTGCTAAGCTAAAGTACGGTAGCTAACGTTAGCAGTACTGGACAACATGTAAAGTCTTGATTTAGTGAGAAGTCACCAGAAGAGGGAGAGAGATTTGAGTGCTTCAGCAGAACTAACGAAAGATTAAATGTAAAACGGATAATTAGCTTCTGTAATGAAGAATATGACAATTAACTTGGTTAAGCTAAAGCAGCTAAAGTACGCTAACAGAAAAATAGATGCACTGTCAACCGGAAGTGAGAGAACACGCCTACCGCAGCACGTCAGCATGCTCCAACCTAAAGATATAAATCCAAAATATCACCAACAAACCCACATGATTTCACTCAGTCAGTGCAACCAATGACAACCGTGGCAACAACCTCCCATCACACAAAAAGTCCCATCTACTCAAAACAATACACAACATTCATAAAACAACTCCTCGACGACAGGAAAGCCTTCCTCAGGAGAGAGGGACATGTTTCAGGTGCTGTTCTTCAATCTCCCACCTCGCCAAAGACTGCAAGTCCTCTGTGAAGTGCTCTGAATGTGACAGCACCTTTCATGATGCAGCCATGCATC